TATGAGGCTGATATAGGCTTTTTTCAGTGAAAATGCAGAACTTTCAGGACTTCCTAGCAAGTTTAACAACTCTTCTGATTCAGAGAAGATTGTAGAAAATTAAAAATCCATATGCTTCAAAAGAGAAAAAAGGAACTGAATAAAAACCAGTGCCTTCTTGACATTAACAGGGTCTGAACTTCCTGGGAAGATGTAATTTGATGTTTTGCCTGACAATAATTCAGATGAGGAATTTCATCCTTTTCATTTTTATTACTGTCTAGCCCTTTCGCTTTCATTTTGACCTTCCAGGTAACTACACAAATTTACTACTGGGTACGTTTCATAGCTTGCACATTGATTGGATCTACTCTGTTTTTAAACTGCGGGTCAGATTCTGAAGAGAGACCCAACATCCATTCCACTATTATATTTCTACCGTGAATAGTGACTGCTTCAGAAGATACCGTGCCATATTTTTCGTACATCTGGAACAAATGCTCCGATTACCAGATTTTGAGAAATTAAATACAAATACAAGAGAAACACAAATAATTACAAATGCAAGCAAGCAAGAGATTTACAGCTAATGAAATACAGAATTTCTTAAAGCAAAGGTAAAAACAAGGAGGGAGTTAGGGCAAAAATGAATTTTAAAAGACAAAGATGTTGAATCAGAGGTCCTTTATCTCTCTCAGAAATCTTACTGCCTTTCTTTCCTTGGCACTTTCTTCAAATACCCTTCCAACACCCTGAGGCACAACATGGGACAAAGACCTCCAATGAAAAAAACACATAAAACTGTACAAGTCCAGTAATTTATAGTAATGAAAAGCAGTTTTTCTAGTGTGTGTCATGAAATCAGTCTGCTGCTCTGTAGAGTACACTAACAGAGACCATCTGAGAATCCCAGAATACAGTCTGGATTGTTTACACAGATATGCATGGCAAGAAGAGGGGATGACTTGTAGTTATTTTGGAAATCACTCAGTAGATATGCAATCTTCCAAACCTTTCTGGAAGTTTACTGATCTCCTGGAAGGTGTTTTCTGGGAGCATAAGGGGTTTTATTTATCCTCTGTAGAGCTCCTGTGAACTGTGAGAAGAGCCTGCTGTGCTCTGGTTTCACAGTTATATCTACAGAAATAATTCTATAGGAATTACCCTTTTGTAACTTTGCCTGAATTTTTTTTTTTTATAAGTGGACAACAACACTGTGCTGTTAAATGAGTGACTTTCACCCTGAATCTTCTGTGAAGGAAGATGTGTGTGTGTTGTATGCTGCATATATAAACACTTGATCACCAGATCATAACACTAAGTTTATGAAGCTCTACATGTTTGGACTATAACTGATTAGTATTTTTTAATTTGACATTAAGTTTAGAATATGAAATTTTTTGTAAAAGGCTTTTATGTATTACTTTCATCCTAGTTGGTGCAGCTGTGTACAGAGGTAGGTTTAAGGCTGGTTGGAAGCTTAAAAGTGTGTTGCAAATGCATTTGCACAGATGCCATGGTTTCATTCTATTTGTTGTCTTTAAACATATTTATGTGGTAACATATCAGCACCTCAATTCATCCAGAATTAGCCATCGGGGCAGGGAGAGAGAGAATCCAGGCAAGTAATGGCGTAAGTCAATTCTAGCACTCTCCTAACTGTGATACCCTGCAAACTTGGTGTGCAGTCATTTTACTTTTATTAAATTTAACTACTTGGTTTTCCAAACCAAATATCATGAATTCAAGGATTTGGCAAACTGTAACTACCAAGGTGACTTTTGGGAAGATGTTATTCATTTCTCATTAAAGACAGAACTGAGGGGGAAATGGAAGATCAGACATTGAAGCCATAGCTATTTTCAGAACTGTGTATTGCTTACTCTAGGGAAGGAATGAAAGTATTATTTCTATTAATCACTAGCTGTCACAGGATTATTTCTCATTAAGAAAGCTCATATGAATTTGTGTAACCTTAAGTAAATGCAGAAAGATTATTACTTTATATACTACCTGTTAAAACAAATATACATCATTAAAAAAAAACAAAATAGTGATGCGTGTTATTACTGTGGACTCTGAATAGAAGGAAAACAGGACAGACAGTATCAGGTGTGGGTATAAACCTGATAGTTATGCCTACACCAAAGCAGTTCACTGGATGCAGGGAAGGAACACAGTGGCACTCTGAAGGCGACAAATACCAGTGAGGAACTTAAAGCCCTGAGAAAGAAAAGGGACTGTGTTGAGAGGTCAAGTATGTTTGATGCTACCCTCAACTGCATTCAGTAATGAACAATGAGGCAGTAATGAGGACGAGGCAAATATCTGCTCAGACTTTTTATGCATCATTAGTCAAGCCAGTGGGTATGATGGCTGAACCAAAAAAACTCAAGGAAAACAACTAATTTTGGATCAACCCACATTTTTTTCATTTTCTCCCCAGCAAAACAATAAACTGAAAAGGAGTTTGGCCAGAAACAAAACATTTTGTCTTCAGTTTATTTAGTCCCTCTTTATTTTAGTTTTGCTAGTTAAATTTGAAATGAAACATTGATAGTTTTGTTCTGAAAATGCTGTAATCAAATGCTTAGTTTTTCCCAATAAATATTTGCTTTCTGAATATTTTTTCTGAAACCATTTATCACATTTGACCCAATTTCATAAATAGTTTTATTCTCCCTTCATGATGTGTTGAACTGGTTAATCACATTCTCCATTGCCAGCATTTTGTTTCCCAGGAACAAAGGCCACTCATATTTTTTTCTTTTACTCTTTTAATTGAAATGCATAATGCCTCATCACCAGAATAACTGAGTGTTTTCCATATTAAAAAATGCTTTCCAAGAAACCTCTTCCCTTCACTTTTCCTCCTTGTAGTAGAGCAACAATGTGAAAATGAGAAATCCGTATAGTGAAATTTAAAAATACGTCCATGAGAGAAAAAAGGTGAAGCTGAGAGATGTATGTGATTCTGAAAATGTCAAGGTATTTGTCCATCCTTTCTGAGGTTCGTCCTTCTGTGAGCAAGGGGTAGATGCAACTGGTGTCATCCTTTGAAGGAAACACGTGTTACTCCGAGGTAGCATCAACGTGACACAGAGTCTGCTCCAAGTCCAAACTCCTGAATTAAAACAAGAGTAATGATAGCTGTGGTCTACTGAGTTGAGCAGCAATTTAATTTTTTCCCTAGGACATACATATATATGTTTTGCTCCTTGGTGTAGTCAGCTACAGTAATTAAAGTAACAAATCCACAGACAACCACAGGCCACTACAGAGTTCCATGGTTTGATGTCTTTCTGGCTAGTCCCAGATAGGAGGATGAGAAGTATTTTAAAGCCAGGGATAATTTGGACAGCTGCTCTTTATAAAGTCAACAAGATCATAATAAGTCTATGAGTTTGACAATTGAAAGCTCCACATCCCACATGAGGACCAAAAAAAAAAAAACCACTTAATTCTTTTTTTGTGAGGACTTTTCCTGTTTTCAGACAAATGATCTCAAACTTGCTTAGACTGAGCTTCAGTTAAATTGTTTTGCCACACTGAGCAATCCTGAAGGGGACTGTGCTGAATTCAGAGTGAAGAGGATGCCTTGCTTTGCTTCTGCTGTGGTTCCATGCAGATATTTGAGAAGACAGAGCACAGGAAGGAGCTGTTTGGGATGCTGCAGTTGAGTGCCCTGGAGATGGAGCAAAGCTGTCCACTGTGACTCAGACACAGATATCTTAGCACAGTTCCTGTGTAAATGAATTGAGATTGAAGTATAATGTTTAGTTGCTAATTACCTTTAGACTCCTTTGGGGAACCCACCAAGATTTCTATGAATGTACAGTTCCAGCCAGCAAACAGACAATTAATCCATCGGTTTGTTCTAACAGGGGACCTAAAACGAACAATTACTTACACTGCTGTGATTGCCCTTCTTCAAGGTTAAATTCTCCATACAGATTCCTCTGTTGTTCTTCACGAGATGATTTTTCATTCCCATTCAGCTTGCAGTCCCAATATAGTCCCTTCTCCCTTGGTGCAGAAATGTTCCTTAAACTGACATTCTCTAGCACAGGTTCAGTAAATTAATTACTTCTACGTAGGAATCCTGCCTCTGTGCCTTTCTTTCATTTGCTTTTTTTGTTTTTAATTGGTGCACACACAAATTTTGGGTATTTACCCAAATATTGCATTTATTAAAAATGCAAAGTTTTATAAGTTGGAAGCAGCAAAGCGGCTGTGCACTGCTGCAGGTAAGATCTCTGGTGTAAAATCCTGTAATTTGTTATAATCAGGTCTCCATTCAAGATCATTTCAGGACACGAAGTATGGGGATGTTTATACCAACATAATGCATGTGTGGATTCAGAAGAATGATCAGTAACTGACAATATAGCAAAAGATGCTTTATTTAGCTCTTTCAAACAAGAGGTGGCTGCGGTGTGACAGTTATAGTCTCATTTTACAACCAGATTTGCAGAGAAATCATGCTTCCATTAATGATCTTCAGGCTCTCATTTCTTCACATTGTTGCTAGTGCAGGTTCCCAGATCAGGTGTGATCAGGTGTTTATGTCTCTGCCTAATGTTTTCAGAAGGGGAAATAGCCTTGCTGTCAAAATACCGCTGGGGCTGCTGCATTGCCAGGTCTTTTCATGGGAACTCTTTGTTGAACAGAAACATGTAACACTGATTCCTAAACATTACATCAGGCGGTTTGTACACACACCAAGGAGGTTCTCATCAGCAGCCACCATGGACCAGCGCGAATATAGTGTTGGACTACATCCTGTGAAATCAGGGTAAATTTACATCTGTAAAATAGGTTGCTACGTTCTGGCTAGCCTGGGTAGGCTTTCCATGTCAGAGTCAGTTCATGTTCTAGGCACTGGATTTTACAAGAATCTCATGAGTACTAAGGTGCCTTTACAGTCTCAGGGAGGCCTTCCTACCTGTAAGTGAAGAACATCATTTTCATGACCACACTATTTTTCTTTCTAAAATGATATTTTTTGGCCTTTCTTTTAGGTAGAGAGGATTGTAGACAAAAGGAAGAACAAAAAGGGCAAATGGGAATATCTCATCAGGTGGAAAGGCTACGGGAGCAACGAAGACACCTGGGAACCTGAACATCACCTACTGCATTGTGAGGAATTTATTGATGAGTTCAATGGACTACATGTTACTAGAGAAAAGCGATCAAGACATGGAAAACAGGCCAGTGCTCCCAAATTTTTACGGGAAAGCCGAGGGTCATCTCTTGAGAAAATACCACATAGACCTTCTGAATCTGGGAAGTCTAAAGGGTCAACACATAAAAGGAAGAGAATTAACCCATCTCTTCAAAAACAGAAAAGAGGATACGCAGCAAAACCAGCATCTGCTAATGAGAGGGCTGCTAAAACTGTGACTTACCGAACTACTCCCAGCGGTTTACAGATCATGCCACTGAAAAAGCCACACAATGGTCTGCAGAATGGAGATGGCAGTCATGAAAAGGATTCTAGACATTTGGGGAATGGCTCACAACAGCAAAATATGGATTTAAATGATCATGAAGGAGAACAAAATTTGCCCAGCGTGTTGGAAGTTAGTAATGATTCACCTGTTGTGAATGGAATTGGTATGTGATTTAAACAACTACAGTCTTGGGGGTGGGGGGGTTAATTGCAGCAACTGCAAACACAGAGTACACTCGTGGAAAAATTTTTGTCATGCTACACAAGTGACGTGGTGAGAAGCACGTAAGCAAGTTTTGCGCTCTTTCCCCATATATTATACCATTTTCTTATCAGTTGGCTTCTGTCCTTCCATTTCCCATGGAGTAATGTGAAGCACTGTGGGCTTTGTTACGTGCCTTTGCAGTGTAAGTTCTGGTGGGGAAATGAGGACAAGGCATGGAGTAGGAACGGCAACAGAGGTATGTATAATACTGCAACTTTGGTTTTGTGTATCGCTAAGTAACCGATCCCTTCTCGATTTTGTGTGCACAGACCCAATGCTCTAGAAAGATCAGGATTATCTTAGAAACAGAAGTAATACCACTCTTGATAAAGTATCCTGGTGTGTCTGAGTAACATTCAAGTTCCTCAGTATTAACACAAGTCATATTCAGGAGTGCTCAGCACTGCCAGGTCTAACAGTGACTGGATACATCAGAAGTCACAAGAGATGCTTTATGGGGAGGTGCAAACAGCCTTGACATGAATGAGAAGAAATAGGAGAAATGTCTTTCTAATTAGCTTAGCTTAGTTCTCAAAGAATAAATGTTTATGTTCCCTATAATGAAACTAAGTAGCTTCTCATTATCTACATGCATCCAAACTTTTTATTTTTTTTAATCCTACCAAACTTAAAGCCTCATTGATGCTTTGTGGCAGTAATTTCCAGGAGCTGACAATGAGATGCACATTTTATTTGATAAAGTCTTTGGGTTTGGTGTTTTGTTTTGGGGTTTTTTGACCTTTACTTTTATTGAATAAGCTTTTGTCCTTATATGAAAGGATAGAGGCAGACATCCTGTCAATCCATAAGCAGCCCCAGCCTTTTAAGCCTTCATACCACTTGCAAGTGTTTCCAGATTCCTGGTAGTTTTCAGTATCCTCTTGTGCCTTTGGTGTGTGGGGTGGTATTTTTAATACCTTTTAAAAACAGCAGGAGCTGTTCCAAATGATTTCCTACTGCTTACTGATATAGTGGTGATACAACCTTTTGAGAATTATTTTTTCTGCTGTTACACACGGCATAAAGGTTTTCATTGAGTGACACACAGTTGCTCTTACCTTTTTTTCCCTTGCTGGTTACAGTTAATTTAGAACACAGCAATATGTAGGATTCCTTTCATTATGCATTTAATCTGCTTTACTGTTGCCAGTTCACCTTTTTCTTATGACTCAGTGAAGCTCTTCAAAATCTTTCATAGTTTTCACTCTACTTATTTTGTATTCCTTTCAAATTTTCCTCTCATACTTCTCTTCCCAGTTCATTAATACATACATTAAACAAACTAATCCTTCTGCAGGTCCTTGGGGCAGCCAACTACTAATCATTTGACATGATGAAAAGTAACCATTTGTTCCAATTATTTATTTTTATTAGCCACTTTCTGTAGCCCATGATAGCACTCATTTCCTTAACAGCTTCTTGTGAATTGCCCTGCCAAAAACTTTTCGAAAGTCAACATAAATTATATCACCCCACTTTCCATTTTCCACCTTACTGGCAACTAGCAAATGCTACTTGATTTGGGAAGTAAAACTGACCTTACTTATTCTTACTTGTTACGTCCTATAACTGCTCAGATCATTCAATCCAGGCATCAAATGTCCTGTTAAGGACTGCCAAACCAGCAAAATGTGTGGTCAGCTTTAAATGCATAAGTAGCCCTGATGATGTCAATGAAACTTAAAATTGAGAGTGCAAGCTTTATGATTTTATGAGTTTGAGCTCATATGAGACTGCTTAAAAAGTTACCTGCTTCTTTAAAAAGACGTGCATATCTAATTACAGATGCCTATAAAGTTATTTTTCTTTGCTTTCTCACTGTTTCTAATGAAGATTTTTTCATTTGTTTTATGTTATTCCTTGGGGAAGTTCTGATACAAAATGTGTCTTTAAAATGCATTAATTCCTATATCTTAGAGTCGTCTTTTAGTGAAGAACTAAAGGGCTACAAAGAACTATAAGGTCAAATGAGCCTTCCATTTGTCCCCACAGGAGCTAATAAATGGCATCCACCACTCCCTCTTTGAATAATCCGTGTAAGAGACCTCTATTTCAGTAGAAAGCTGCTCTGCCTATATGGCCAGGTGTTCTGCCGTGTACAGAGGGCTCCTGGCCTAACAGCTGATGTATGCAGCTCCTTTAAAACATTTCTTTATGATGGTTTTTGCATTTTCCAAATCCATCATTTCTGTTCTGTACTTTGCTCTCCTTTCTCCCTTGCATTCTGACCTCCCTGTAGGCAAAAGCAAGAGTTCTTTAAATCTTTACCTGGTTCTCATCTGAAAAATCATCCTCAGCAGCACTCCCAAGGTCAGAAATCCTTCCAGTCTTGCTTTGTGATACCCAGCACATGCATAGTGGAGAAAACTACAAAGAGGAGAGATGAGACTACCAAAGTCAGAGCAGGCAGAAACTGGTGAGGAGGGGCCAAAATAAAAATACGAGCTTTTTTTCTAATATTGTCCCACAAGCCTGAGAGAAGTCACATTTCTGGATACAGGATTTTGCTTCATTTGAAATGTCAGATTGCAGAAACTTGCACTACTGTTCAAGAAGTCCATCAATTTACTGAACTCCTTCAGTATTCGCACTCACAGGGAGGTAGCACAGAAGACACCAGTGTCATTCTGCCATGTGTCCTCTTAGTATCGCAGACTCACTTTAAACAGGATAGACGTCCACTAAAACTGGTCTAAAATTTAAAAATTACAAATGAAGAAAGTTTCAGAGAAAAATGCCAATTTGTTGAATAACAGAAGTTTTGTTCCAAACATCTTGGGTTTCAAAACTTTCTCCAAATCTGAGCCAAGGTCCCAAGGCTTTATCCCTTGAGACCGGGAGCAATGTGGCAGTCTGCTTGGCAGGACTCCCACGTTTAGCTTTGAGGCAGCCAGCCATGCCAGAGGTTTCAGGCAGTCTGCCACAGAGTCTGGAAGTTGAAAACCCAGCATGCCCCATCAGCGCTCGCAGGGCTCCCACACACTATATGTAGAACAAAGAAGGAGCAGGAGGACCTGGGTTTGGCTCCCAGAAGCTGTGGCTCCCGGGCAGCTCCGTGCAGAATGGAATGAAGCAGACATTTGTCTCAGCTTTGAGATTGCCTACATGGAGCCCAAATGAATATCAGATTCCTATCACAGTTAAGTGCAAGAGGGCACAGAAAATGGATGTAGAAATTTTAAGTTGGTCTTGAGATGAAGCCTAGATTTGGAAAACTCAAAAAATTCCCCACAATTTGCCAGTTGTAGGTCCAGCTCTGCTACCAGTGTTGGCTTATGGTTGAAAGCCTCCAAAAAGCATCGACTTGAACCAGTATTATTTCATATTATAATGATGTTTAACGACCAGTGTATTGAACTGAGCGATGTAATTAGTAATTTATACACTATAGCTCATTAAAAAATATCTATTTTGTTTGTCTGTGGTATGCCAGTTCTGTTGAAACAAATAGTAGCTATTTGAAAACCAGTTTTTGATGATTCCTTGAATGGACTTCCACCAGTGTGTTTGGTTTTGTGTATACATCCACTTGGGTGCAAGTGTTTCCTGATCAATCTAGAGATAAAATCCTCACCAGTAAGCTAGTTACCCCAGAAAGATGTCTGTATACCTACAGACGGATGCACAAAATCATACATGCACCCTAATGGAGGCCTGGAACAGTGCTGCAGTTGGGACAGACCCTTCTTACCAAAACCTCTCTTCTACCTTCTACACATCCTGTCATAAGGAAAGCAGATTCATCTTTATTGACAGTTATTTAAGGGTCTGCAAATTCGAAAATGTCGGAAGACTCTATGGGAGAACATCCACCAATGCTCCCAGGAGCTAACAGTACCATTCCTTCTGATGATATTTGTTGTCTTCTGTTATCACATTTCTGTTTCTCTCCAGATATTGTAACTGAGAGTGATTGTTTTGTCAAGTTTCTTGACAGCATCAAATAACATCTCCTTTTAATTTTCTCTTCCCCTTTTCTACATCGTTCTATTTCTGTACCGTCTGCTGAAGAATTTTTACTTGTCATGTATCACTAACCACTGTTTTTCTCCATTACGAAAATCGTTGTAGTCTCATGGTGCCCTTAATTTAAATACTCTCTATGAACTTAGTCACTGCTTCCTCTTGGTTTTTTAGCTTGTTCTGTTTTATTTATTCTGGAGCAATACTGGCAGTAAAAGACAACCAAATATGCTTGCTTTCTCAGTTTGAATAAAAACTTATTGCTTTTAGATATCTTACAGATGCTCCTTTAGCTGGAGAAGTCTGAAATTATTAGTAAATTATCAACAGAACACTGCTTTTAAGTATGTACAGTATTAACCATTACCCACAAAAAAGACAGAAAGGAGACAGAAAAAGGCGATTGGGAAGACTGAGGAATGCCAAGCTGTTTTACCAGGGACAGTAAGGGAGCATCATTTATTTCACCTAAAAAAAATTAAAGCCCTAGCTCCATGATCCTTTTCATTCAGTATAAATGCATGCTGGTAACAAAAGGAACAGTCCAGCCCTCCTTCCCCTGGTATCCTGAGCGTTATTCCCATCCCTTCCCCTGCACCAGTTTTAGTACTCTTGAGGATATAAGGTGAACCTGATCTGTTTGAAAATTAACCCCAGTTTTGCAGAGTGAGTTTCCAGCCAGAAGAGTTCATCAGGTCAGTTCAGAGTATGGCTGCCTACCTGCACCCCAGTACCAGCACAAGGATCACTACATAAGGTGGTAGCGCAGAGACGGCTCCATTAAGCTGACTGTGATGAAATGTTAACAAAAAATGTATCTGAAAATAACAGTAGCTTGAGGTGTCCTCTTCTACTGGGTAGAAGGAGATGGGGAGATCTGGGTCCTCTAAGGCATTGAGTGATCTGAGGCTCATTGCGATCTTTTCTCTCTTCCCTCTCCTAGTCTTGGTCTGCCTCATCTTTCTAGACTATAAATTTCTAATGTGCTTTCTGCAATGTCTACGATAATGGAGCCCCACTCTCAGGCTCAATTTGGAGTCTTTAGGCACTTTCTAGCACCACCAGCAGCGGCAGTAACATCGTTACATGTTGTTCCCTTTGAGGGTTGAGGAGTACTAGAGAAGATACAGGGACAGGCAACTAAGATGAGGAAGAGGATTACAAGAATAAAAGAGGCTTCAGTTAAGAGAGGGGAAGGCTGAGGGGGAATATGATCAAAGGCCTCAGATAAAGTAAATGCCCAACTGCTGTTCACAAATCCCTCAATAGCAGAACTAGGGACCACTCGCTGAAACTGGTAGAATATCAGATAAAAGCAAAGATGAAAGAAAATGATTCTCTGTGTAGTGGCTACACAGTGTCTCCAACTCATACCACAGGAGGCTGTGGAGACAGACATCATCAACAGGCTCAAAAGGGGATTACAGAACTCCATTAAAATGTCCATAAGCAAATACTGAAGGAAACAGGAAGGATGAATCCTCTCATATTCCCATACAACACTTCGGGGTGATACTGGGGGAGAGGACTGCAGAAAGTGGCCAAGCTTGCATTTGCTCCTTAAATAGCATCCTTTACTGCCGTTCTTGGAGAAGGATCACCAGGGCTCTGGGAATATCTTAAGTTCCCTTAAAAGATATTGAAACTTCTAAACATCAGTGTGTTTTTAGGTATTCCACAAGTTCCACTGCTGATCAAAAACAAGGTAATAATTAGATCAGTTAGATTAAACTCCCACCAAAGGGAGGAATATTTTCTCCTGTTTTCTTTTTGTAGTTAGATTGAGTGTCAAATACTCAGTACTTGGCCAGTAAACCACACTTAGAGGTACCTAAAGCTTCCTTAGTTAATTTGTGACATCCTTAATTTGTTTCACAGGCAGTATAGATTGCTTTGAGAACACCTCGTTTTTCCTATGTCACAGTTATTTTTCATCCTGACATACTAAGGTGCTGTTACCCTTGCCCTCATGCAGAGACAGTCTGGATGCTTCACCAGCTCCACAGCAAACCTTGCGTAGCTCCATCACATCCATGCAACAGTCCTGCTAAATTGGCCTGGTTTCACTTGAGTGTTGGCTTTGGATTTTACTGATAATTTTGTCCAGTTTATCAGATTAAGCAAGATTACGGGGATATACAGTATATGGTGAAACAACAGTTTACTCATTGTAAGTAATGAGTAAATAAGTAATTATAAGTAATTATAAGTAAATAAGTAATTATAAGTAATGTCCTGTTAATCATCCATTCCTGGAAATGACACTTTTCCGTTTATGGTTCTCTGATATTTAATTTAGATCTTTCTTTCCTCTGGTTAAATTTCTGTCAGCTGGCATGCAGATAGTTAAAATATTGTGATAAGATCAATAGATTCTTACATCATATATTTAATTTACAAACTGAATACATTACTCAAACAAAGAATACAACAAAAAATTAAAATTATCATTATGAGGCTTTTTATTGAGCGGGATTATCTGTGTGAATTAATCTTCTACCATTCTCTAACCATCTGTACTCAAAGTAGGTGTGATATCATCTTCAACACTATGTAGATAATCAGTAGAGTTAGTCTGACCCATCTTCGATTCAATGTTCATTTGTGCCTCTGATTTTCTAAGTTTTTTACACTTTTTGGGGAGATTTAACTCTTCACATCTAGTAGCTTATTGCTGGGTCAAGAAACATAGTAAGGACTGAGTAGATAAAAATGTCATATTTAAAAGTCTGTCTCAATTACACATTACATGGCGAGGCCAAATGACGTACCAGTTAAATACAGTTAGGCACTCTTTCTGTTCTAACATCACATAGCGTAACTGCAGTTATATACAGGCATTTCGCGCACCGTGAACAATTCCACAGGCCATTGCCAACTGAGAGGTACCAGACAGTTCAGTCACCTACATAAACATCAAGTTGAAACATAGCTAATCCAAAAAGAGAGTAAGTTGGTTTGGTGTAGAGAATAATCTGTCATGAATTCACGATTCAATTCTGTTCCAACAGAGTATTTTTAATTGGACAGTGGTCATTTAAACTACAAAATTTTAATCTATGTTCTAATATTCATGTCATCTGCCCTTTGAAAATTCCTGGCTATTTGATACAGAAGCTGGAACAGGTCAGCTTTGGCAGGAGTAAAGAACAGAACAAACAAAGGTGTTTTCCTTCAACTCTTTCTTGGCTTTTCTTAAATATAGAGTATTGTGGGCTCATGTCTATTTAAATAAAAAACAGATTTGGAAACTATTTAAATGAACAGAGTGACTTTAATCTCCATTCCCCAACAACCTGTCTCTGCTTTACTTTTAATGGCAATAGTGTGAAACAGATGTAATTAGAAAAGGAGTATTGCATTAAAATCTTGTGAAGATATTTTCAACATTCTGGCTCAGCTTTGTTCCCAATCATTATATATTGCCTATTACAGAGGAACTCTAAACATAAACCAAGTAAGAGTTTACAGTTCATACACAGTGTAAGTCAGAATAAACTTGTCTTTTAAAACTGACCTGCTATTACTCTCATCTGTTTTTAAGGAGGAACTATATCTTTGTTGTCATAGTTCCCTTTCTCTCCTGCTGCTGCTTACCCTCCAAATGCCATCAGCATGAACGTTTTCTATGTACAAAGTCCAATATTAATATATCTGTTAGTCAGAAGTCAGTAATTGTTGTTATTGTAAAATGTAATGAGCAGAAGCCTGGGATCAGAGCAAAGAGGGTGGCTAACTTACTTCTCATGCTGACCACAAGGATACAGGGAAGAGAATGCCGGTTGTGTCAGCTTAGTAAGAACTCCCTTAACGTACTGTCACAGAGATGTGCAACAAGGGTCTATTCAGATCCTCATTTGAAACTGATAATGACATTTTGGTCACCATAAAAGGAAGACAACGTACCTTTGAAAGGTGGGATTTGGACTAGACCTGTCATGTCAGGTTCTTCCAAAGCTGAATTAGAATTTTCCTGTGAATCCAGGGATCGCCCCAAATTCATATGAAAGAATATGGTACAACTGCTTTCATCTTCAAAGCAGAACTGAACCCCATTAAGGGTACCACTCCTACATGCTGTATAATGCTTGGGTTTAGAGGTTGTCTGATCAGAGAACAACAAGTACTGCATCTTGGAATACCAAATAGTAAGAATGGCTTGAGCCACATCTGACTAGCCAGGCATATTTTTGATTTCTCAGACTGATCACATAGAGGCTATTGTAAATAGTGAGCTATGTTTAAGCTAATAGAAAGTATCACTCCATTTCTTTGAAGGTATAGACATAATTATGCTTTGATTCTTTCCATCTGAAAGGTTCTTCTCTGGCCAATGGAAGCTTGAATCTACACAGCACTGTGAAAAGGAAACTAGATGGGGAGAAAGATTATGTCTTCGATAAGAGACTAAGATACAGCGTACGTCAAAATGAAAGTAACTGCCGGTTCAGGGACATTGTAGTCCGGAAAGAAGATGGTTTCACACATATTTTGCTGTCAAGTCAGACTTCAGATAACAATGCACTGACCCCAGAGGTAAGCATGTAGCCATAAAAGCCAAAGAAAGCCATCCTAATGTGTCTTGGAATCGGGTTATCTTGGAAACACTTCACTGGAACTGGTTTTTATGTATTTTTATCCTAATTTATTATCTTAAAAAGAAATACAGAGTTCAGACATATCTAACTTTTTCACACTTGGGATCTCTATCAAAAATAAGGCAATTTTTAAATTTACATGTCTGAAACCAAAAATTAGAAGTAAAGAAAGGAATGGCAGAATCAGTATTTCCAGCATGGAGTTGTATGAGGCAGTTGTTCACATGCTGAAGTTACTGATATTTGCTATCATTAGGAGAAATCTGGTCACTTTCATTTTATTACTTTAAATAGTGCTCTACTTGTTCCATACAGAGGAATTTCAGGCTATATCCTGAAACAGTAATTCTAAAAGTGTACATCGATCCCTAATTGCTTTTTCTCTAAATCACTTTATGAGTCTTTATTTATGAAATCTTAACCAATTAGAGGCTCTGTTCTCACCTGAATTGCATAAAGTCATACAACATATAAATTATATTAATCAATTCCCTTGTTCCAAACATTATACACTTAAGGTCAGACTTGGACTTGTAGCTTGTACTACTCCAGTACATATATTGGGCACTGGAAGGGCTGAGAAGCTTTTCCTTCCATTCCCTGTGATCCCAGCATAGAGGGCAGCAGCGCCCTGGTGTACCTTTCCCATGCAGAACAAAAGGGGTTCTCAAAAGGGGTTTGAGCACCATTGGAGGGAGAAGTAGATTGTAGCTTTGAGGAGTTACTTTACTCAATAAGAAACTGAATAACTTTGAAATAAATGGCTTATAATGAGCTTCAGATAGAACAACTGGCAGGTATGAGGGACCCTAAATTGGACTCCTCTTCTCAAATGCACACCTACATATGCACATTAATACACAGAATGATAACGAAATATTTAAAACTGTTGGTACCTATATTTATCACCTCTAGTTTTTAAACTATATAATATTTTAAAAGACTATCTTGGTAATTAACACAGAACACCAAACACCTGCTTTTAATACTAATTCCTTAAAATGCATTAGATTGCATCAATCCATTATTCCATCCATGTATCAATTACCACTAATTGACGCTGCAGGTAATTTAAATGAAGAGCTCAAAGAGCTCAAGGGCCTGAAAAAGTATGAAATCAAGGACTTACTATGTTCAGGCTGAACAGATGTACCTGTAGGTTGCTGGCTGTGCTGTTCCACATCAGCAGTGTTCAAATGCTCCAACCAGTGAATTAATTCAGGCTCTTCAGGTCTGCCAAACCAATCTGTTTCATTCTTTGAAAATTTTCAATGTGCCGGGAGCCCACCTCTGTGGAAGAATAAAAGATAGGCATATAATAGTAGTCCTCTGCTTGCATCACTGGCATAGACTAATTCTAGAACCTTTACTGAAGCTCACTCAAAAACCAGGAAATACATTTTAGAAAACTACATTACTGACCAGGATCTGGATGGTGAGGAATTAATCAAGATAATGAGTTCTCCACATTGAGATTGTCTGTTTAAAACTCATCCAGGCTGAGAGCAATTGAAAGCTCTTGCTCTCTGAAGGCTGCTTGCTGGCAAACATGAAACGACTTCTTTGGCTTCAGTCCAGGCTGCAGCCCATGAACATTCACACCACAAAATCCAGCACCTCCAGTATTGGCAATTCCACATTCTTGCTGGCAATTACAGAAAAAATCCAAGGAAGTGAAAGGAGGAGTATGTTGAATGCCTTGGCCCTGCAGTTTGTCATCCATAGCCATAGCTGCGACAAACTGACTATTTTAGGGACACTTACAACATTTTTAGTTTTGACACCTTTTATCACTAATGAATAGAAAGTACAAACACAAAATTCCTACAAAATGAAGAAAGCGTGTTTCATTTTGTCAGAAGAAACACTAACTTCAAGCTTTATTAGACATTCAGTAAATTATGTTTGCCAAATAGTAAAAGATTAATTTACTCAGAGCAGGTCTACCTGGTGTGGTTAAAGTAGTGCTCTGGTTATTCTTAGCCAGGCCATCTATGTTAGGAAAAAAAGAAAAGGTGTGCACTGCCCACAATCATTATAAAATTAATCTGATACAAAGTCATTCTCACCCCTAAACAACCCTGCTTCCCTTTGTGCTTTATCTTAATCTTCAGATGAAATTTAATAGTTTTGTTCAACCATTGGCCTCTGCTATTTATGATAATTTAATTAAAATAACAAAGAACATATTTATAATAAATTAATAAATACTTAGAGAAGTCTGCCTGAACCTTTATCCTGTGTTTTTGGTAGCCACACCTGTGGGTTTGCGCAGGTGATTTCAGCACGCAATGTGCCGATGCTCCTTCCACATTTGCACTGATTGAAGTTGGCTCAAGGCCACTCTAGCAATTGAGGTTTTTCTACAAAAATATTCAGGGCACTATAGAAATTCTTTCTTACGTTTTACAAGGCCTTATAAAACTTCCAAGCTAGTGTCATAAAACAGCACAGATTGTTTTTATTTCAGTGGCTTAGGCTTGCTACTTTTAAAATTCCTTTTTAAAATAGATATGTAAACTGTTTCATCATTATACATTCCATTAGGGCATTTTCTTTCCTGGGTCTTTTGCTGCTTCTGAAGTTCTTTCTCCAGTGATGATGCTGCTGTTTTAACTTGGCACATTACAAGGATCCAAATTCTGTTACAAGCTTAAGATTAAATGGATCCATGCACTATGTTTACTTAACACTACTAATAGAGCTAGGAATTAATATTCCCCTTGAATTAAAAGCAAAGCCTACCCTAAACAGCTAATGATGCCATTGAAGACTGATATAATGACCTCAAGTACACTTCTCATACAAAAGAATCAGGTTTCAGATCTGTAGCCATGAGAATTACTGGGTTTGAAGTTCTACCAGGTGCATTTGGGAGCACTGGTTTGCCTGCACTTTTCCTTACAACTTTGCCTAAATTTAAAAAAAAAAAAAAAAAAAAAAAAGGCAGGTACAAGTCTACCGTTATCTCAATTTTTGCTCTCATGGGAAGACAAATTGTGGTTTTTGGCCAGTACTTCTGCCTGAAGCCAGCCTTATAGTTCCTAAGTCCTTTATTTATCAAACAGAAAGGACTCGGAATCTGTTGGCACAAAGAGTCAGTAAGTAACAAAAAGTGTATTTATGTAAAAAGGTACGATTGTGGAAGAGGTTCTAAAAACAACTGAATGGCTTGAAAATTTTGTTTTACTGTAATATTTACAGAATAGTTACCTTCAAGAGTATCAACAGTGAATCCTTAGAATTCAGAGGAGTTAACCTTTTAAACTAGCATTTCTATTAATATGAACAAGAGACTTCTGTTCAAGATACTTTGTATAATTATGGTGATAAATTCCCAGCTTCCTGATTTCCCCAGAATGTAAGCAATATTGAAAGGGCACCAAATGCCTTTCAAATTTTCCTACATCCAGTGAAAGGCATCAAAATAAGCTCTTAGAAGTGTAATTAAATTTTTAAACATTTTATGTTTATTTTGCAGTACAAGGTGTCCTATTAAAGAACTAAGCAACTTATTTTCTCGACAGGATTAAAAAAATAAGCAACTTTTGAGAAAATGATAGTTTTATTATACATTTAGGTCTCAGTAAAACAGTCAGTGAAGCATTAGGCCTGGTCTAAATTTATAATTTGATAGATTTTCCTAAGTGACAGAACTGGCCCACACTGTTTTGTAAATACTTCCTCAGAAATTTCAGTCAAATGCATGCAAATAAAAATATTGTCCCCACAGCTGAAAATTAACTAAAAGACCATTAAAAAAGCTAATTTTAAAAAGCATGGACCTGGAGAATACTGCTACGGAGCCCTGCAAACAGTAATATTAGATCTGGTCCACAAGCGAAAGTAAAATTTAATTGGACAAATGCCATAGTTATACCAAGTTGAGGGAAGGGCTAAGGACCAGGGAAGAGAGAAAAAGAAAACGGAATCTGAGAAAGAAATATAACTAGAGACACGTAGTATCTCTATATGTGCAAACTGCATTAAATGGAAATTTGTACTTAAGAACAGACAACAGTTCTGAATTAAAATTATATTTACTTTAGAGTACTGCAGTTTAGTAGACAGTTTGTAACCTTACAGACAAACCATCTTTTCTTATCTGTATTTTATTGTTAGTAGCTTTCCTATAATCATATAAACATCTGTAGAGAAATGCCCATACCCAGATAATCCATGAGGAAAGCCATGATGCCACGGCATTCGGAACCAACACTGGAGGGCAGGCTGGCTGTAACTGGCTGAGTGACAAGGTGACCCGGTGAATTTTGGACTGCACCAGCAAAGGAATCATGGCATAAAACAGGGGAGTGAGAAGCACCTTTTGTTGATAAAGTTAATGACAAACTTACAGCTATTTTAAAAAAAAATACTTTTTGGAGATTGGAAACATTGATACATTATGGTTTCCTGGTTTCTGATACTGGTTTGTTTTGCTAGAAACTAGTGGAGCAGTGGAATGTAATTTCCATTAAACAAGAATACTATCCAAAATATTGTCAGAGCCTTCCCATTTTCAACCATACCTGAGAAATCAATTCCTAATAACGGACTTTTAATATCACCCTGTCCAAAACACTGAAAAAGCAGTGATAGTGGAATATTGTTTTTTCCTACAAGTAGCATAACGTCCGCTCAAAAGTTTGTTTTACTTTTAGGTGGCATTAGCCATCCAGATCAATGAGGGGTAAGATAAAAAAGAAACAGGTTTGTAATGGTAATGATGTGTTTGAAGGATAGCAGTGGTAACATCAAAGCGATGGTACATATGCAAATACCACTGGGAGGAAGTGGAACAGTAACAGAACTTGTTGAATGCAGTATCCTATCCTGGCATCATATTTAAAACAACACTCCTCATTGTATGTAAAAATGTTTGACTGGTATTCTCCAATATTATTTATACATCCTCCCTAAGAAAGAGCCGATTTTGAGAACATTTGAAATAAACTAAGAGGACAATCTGGCATTCACGTGGAACCAGGAAAATCAAAATATGTATCTTTTTTTTTATTCTAACATCTACCACCTTCTAAAGTTTCTTTTTTAACTTTGAACACAACTTTTAGGGGTTTTTTTTCCTTTGTTTCCCCTTTACAAAATGTGCAGTTTTGCGAGGACTGAGACAGCCCCTGAGACTCTGAGAATAAACAGTACTTGTAAAATCACTGATGACATTTTTGTACCTGCACAAGAATTTCAAATACACTTCCAAATTCTGCTGCTTTTAATTACTTCACTTCCACCCACTGTCACATACTTGGTATTACAGGCCTTCTGAAGTGCACTTGTAAAAGTGAAGCATTTAAAAGTTCACCACCTGCTTTCTCATGTCCCAGTCTCAGCAGCCAGAAACATTTTTATGCAGACACGTATGGAAAGCAGGCAGGTAGCATTGCGCTGCCTGGTTTGAATATACAAGTTCAAACTTGGTCTCACAAGCCACAGGATTTCTCATAAAAGGATGCCTCTTTTAAATGGTAGAAACAAAACTTCTGGTTTGGGTTTAGGGACATTTCTTAAATAAGGCACTTCAGAGATCTAAAGAATTTTTGGAAACAGAAAGTAGTGAACAAAAATAATCACAAGGTAAAAATCTTGGTTTCCTCTCACGTGGAAACCATATTTAATAACCCAACCACATTTTGCTATCTTTGACCTAAATTTACACTAACAGCAAATCTTTCCGTACAAAAGAGAAAAAATTGACTCAACAGGACCCTCTCTGTAGGAAATACTTTGACACATGGTATGTTTAAGCAGAGGAGGTGTCAGACTAGGTGAAATTACAGCCCTTGGAGTGAGGAGCGGATCGCTAAAGAGGAGAGGGGAAGCTGAAATGGCTGAAATCAGTTACAGCTCACAAACTATCCTGAATTGTGACCAAACAAGACGTTACCCATCAGAAGTTTATGAAATAATATTTCCTTTTAAAAATCATTAGAAAAACAGTTCTGCTCGGATGAAAGGCCATTTTCTTACAATACCAGCAGCTCAGTGCTATACAGATTGTGATTAGGTTGGATTCATCCAGTTGTAAATCAGAGGGTAAAAATGTCTCTTTCAAGTGGCTTTTTTGCTCTGACTTTACCAATATCACTGACCACAGAAAAATGAATAATATATTTGTTATGTTGGTGTATATTATGTCCTCTTGTCCTGTCTTGCTCTGGTTCAAGTCATATAAACCAAAGTAGTTGAAGAACTGAAAACTGGGGTTTATAGATTTTGCTTACAACCTGTTGAGATTAATAGGCTATTGTTGTGATAACTGTGTTACTTAGGATGCAGTGATGTACGCTGAATATACACGATGAAAATAAAAAGGTGATATTTGAAATTATTAAATTGCAATCAAATAGCAAAAGCTAGCTAGAATTTCCCATAGAATAAGCACAGCCAAGTTCTAAAAACTCTTTGAATTAGTAAGCATCTACAAAGCACTTCCAAATATAAAATATTTTGTAAACTCTCAGTGTTATCATTCTATTAAAATTATATAAATATATATAATTGATGTAAGTATTAATAGTGCCCAAAATTTAAGTCTCTCAAAATCAATAAGGTTTGTAAAAGTAGGGAAATGATATTGCAACGGCATGCATGTCGAATTGTTTACTTTTCTTTATCCACAGATCATGAAGGAAGTTCGGAGAGCATTGTGCAATGCATCAGCTGATGACAGTAAACTCTTACTTCTCAGCGCAGTGGGAAGTGTATTCTGTAGTGGCCTAGATTACTCATATTTAATTGGCAGGTTATCCAATGACAGAAGAAAGGAAAGCACTAGGATTGCAGAAGCTATAAGGTGACCCAAGCTTACCTATGATCTCTAAATTATGAAATGCAGTGTGTGATTATAAAGATATTTATCAGGTCCAAAAAATGTTGTATATTTAAGTGTTGATTGCATTCTAATTATAGTCCTACTAATTTGTTTAGTAAGAAGAACCTTGGACCTTTCCTTATTAGAAAAGAAAGCACATTTATTCCTGTGCTAATATCCATATGGATTTATTTTATTCCAATTCTCTGTATTTAATACTACAAATCATTCCTCAAAATTCAAATACAACTTTGTTGTTGTTTTTCCAAATTAGCTCTTGCTTCATGTTCTAAAGTGGTTCCTGAAAGGCAGATATTTTACTTGTTTTAATGTTCATAATTTCAATGAATTTCAGTACAAATGGGAATCCATGGCTTACTCATATGCGGTTGAAATAGCAGTCTGCCACTGTATTTCAGAACCTTATTAGAAGGGTCTCCACTCTTTTTCTTAAACTCAAATTACTTAATATATATGTAAATGTAGTTTTATTTTCATAACTAAAATGTGACTTTCCTTATATATATATCACATTATCTTAATAGAAATCCAGGGTTTATGACATGCAGTCTACAAATCAATCTTCACAATACATCACCAAATATTTCCATTATCCACAAGGTATACTTTATACATATTTGTCAGATCTTCCAGTATAAATCAACATTACTCCACTAAAGCAAATGGTATTTCACCAGTCTGTACCAGGAGAGGGTTTGATCCCTTTCCCCACTTCCTACAAATAAATATTACTCTCCCGTGAGCTTTAAAACTTTATGCAACAGTTCTATGAAGGAATATTAAAGAATTTGTTTTACAACAGATCTATATTTTGGACAGATTAGTATAACATAGGATGAGGTTTAGCTGTTACATGACATGTATTAACCACCAACTATCTTGGTTACAACTACAGCAGATCAGTTTGAATTCTCAGTGTAATACTCAAAGTAGTAATTATTTTGAAAGAATTGAAAACGTACTTCTTAAATATAATAAATACATGTTTTTAAGACCCTAGCTATGATTGAATATCATGTAGTGATATTTTAAAAAAAGAAAAACCCACTGAAGAACACATCCTAATTTATTCTTTTTCTAAATGTGAGAGATTTTTAATAATGTGGAACCAAAAAAAACATGAGGGAAGAAGATCACTATCCTTTTTTGAAAACACGGGCACACTCATGCTCCATTAGAAGATACAAATTTAATATTACTCATGTAAATAGTGTGTAGATAGGTATTGTTATATATATATACGCTTATCTACACACATTTAATATACAGGTGTACTTATCAATTCAACATTTAAAGGAGTATAAGCCAGACTATGATACTCAGTTTTTCCATCCTTGGACTCACAGAACACTCTTGAAATACTGGTACAATCTACTGCTCCTTGTCAAGAATGTCGGCTTCAGGCCCACTGGAAATAGATTTTTATTGTACTTCTGGAAACAATACACTACGTTTTCCATTTAGCACTCTCTGTGCTTTCTGTGAACAAAGGGCTCAACTCATGGAAAAAATACTGTAATAAGAGTAGAAAAAAAAATGTACTATTTGCTTTTTCAGTGGTTAGTATGTCCTAAAACACAATAATGGATCTCTGCCTCCACTGCTTTACATCCAGTTAGACTTGTATCAAAATTAAATTAAAATCCTGATTCCCGTGTGTTTCCACTTTCTAAAGTATGGATCTCATCTACTGACCATAAGTTAAAACGGAAGTTTAAAAACTCATACAGTCTTATCTCACACAGATGATTTATTGACTTGGCCCCTGTCCTCATCCACTGCTTTTGGGGCTTGCAGCTCACAGATGTGTGGCACCGTAGCTTCTCTCCAGGTACCAAACATGGATCCATTGGCTTGAGCTGCCATCATGCAGATGTGTGTCCAGCATTGCACTCCTGGAGCAGGGAAAAGGCAGACAGACAGACTGCACTGCAGCTGTGCATACGTGGCCTACAGAGCCCTGCAAATGAGAGACTCACTGGAAGGCATTCCCAGCATCAGTCTCCCTTGTGACATAATTGGTCAGGCATCGTTATGTAAGACAATACGTACAATTCTGGATGTGCTCAGAAGAAAATTAAGAAGGACAACTTTGCTTGCTCAGCTTCCTTATAGCCTTTGACATACTTATGAGCTCTGACCTGCAGCAAGACCTCTGCAACGATGCAGAGGTATCTGAGCATCCCAAAGTGTATTTGATAGTCAGCTTCCCAAATATCCTCTAGGAAAACCAAAAGCCTTCTGCATGTGACACCATTTCCTATCTTTGAGCTTCTGGCACCGCTGTGCAACAACGGTTACAATTTGGAGTCCTTTTCTAAGACTGCCTGGAATTGAAACAAGGATCTTGTAGCCCAGAAACTACATCTGTAAACGTATGATTCGGAGACACGGAAGCATGCCAGGATCCGGGTACAAAGATTACTCACTGAAACAAATAACGTACCAAAGGGAACACAGACAAGTGGAGTGCTGGACACTGCAGTTTCTGTAGACCAAATGCAGGCATTTGTTCCCCTTGCAGTATTTTAGCCTTCCACTCCATCCTGTAGGTGGCATGTTCCATACCCATCCATTGTACCATCCTCTGTAGCATCCTTCCCTCATGACAGAGGCTCATCATGTCTTCTCAATGTTCTGGTCCACTCCCTCCCCACCTCCAGGTCCTCCCTTCCTTGCTCACTCATATGAAGATTTCACATTTCCTTCAACCCTTCCCCTCCATTAATGTGTTCTGCTTTGTTCTTCCTCCCCATCATTTAACTGTTTCCTCTCCACATCCCTAATTGCTTTTCCATATTCACTTCCAGTCCCATTTATCACCACATGCTTCCTCCTTTTCTCCACAGCGCTGTTTTCTTCTGCCTCCACATGGTACTCAGATCTGCTGCCACCATTTATTCATAGTTTGTTCTTTTTACCTATCATTTGTTATATCCCTGTTCCCATCTGTAGTCCTACTTGGAAGGCTTACTTGCTTAACTACTAAGGTTCTCAAAGTTTTGGAATTAATCGGGTGCAGTGATCCACATAAACATAGTCAACCATAAACAACTGAAGAAATAACGAGATAAGGGAACAGCATTGCTTCTGCAAACAAAATTGAACCATAACTCTCCTTAACCTGCTATCCTCTAGAAAGAAATGGTCTTGAACAGACAAATATCATGTTCCTTATTTCACTTTCTTTGTCTTGCCTCTGATCTTCTGTTTTATTACTCCCTGAGTGAACAGAGCTGCATCAATTCCCCCAAGTCTCTGCTTTCCATGGTCAAAAATCAGCTCCTCACCAGATAGCCTGAAAAACAGAACTCATTCATTGAACATTTAATGCAGGGTCACCTCAGACTCTTCATTTTCTTTTAAAATATAGCCAATGCCCTTGCACTTCAGTCCAATAAAATACTTATTTTCCGTGTGTTTTCCATTTTTTGCCAAATCGGCACTCCAACCTGCAAGGCACACCCCCTGTTCTCAGATACAGAAGTCTAGATCTTTTTGACCTCAGTGGGAGAGCTGCAACTTATCAAAGGTCATATTTGACAAAATGTTCTCTCCTAAAATCTGACAGCAAAGATGCATCTAATAAATACCCACTGCAGGAACAGAATCTCCTCCTTTGTTTGGAATTTGATTTATACATGTCTCTTTTTGAAAGTAATCGAGCATCTCGTTTGCCTCCACATACCTGCTGTGCACTGAGCTGATGGAGCCCATCCTTTGCCCGCAATTACACTCATGCTTTTTCCTAATTGGTGTATAGACTGTTCTGTTCAACAGATGTCTTTCCACAGTTGCTGGTAGGTAACTTATTTAAAATATCTCCTCATTGCACAGAATTTAACATATTCTAGTTCCTTCATCCAGATGAATCTGATCACATTTACTTCCCCATTACTTCCCATTGCTTCACATTTACTGTTGTAGGCAGGCAAGGTCATCTACTTTGTTATGTCTTTGCTGAAGACATTTGCAATAAAGACCCAACAGGTCACTCACCTAATTCTTTCCCTGTTCAAACATTTCTCTCTCTCTCTGACTCCCTTTTGTGGGTCTTGTTCTTTCTGCTGGTGTGCCATAAACATTTACTGTCTCCCAATCCACTGATGGGACTTGCAGTGACCTTTGACAACCTTTTGATCTTAAGAGACCTTTTTGAAAAAAATTAATATTCAGCAATCAAGCTACAAGTTTCCTGTTTTTCACACTATAATATGTTAATCAGGTTCACCAAACCAGATCGTCAGAATCCATAGTAGCCATTGTGGAACAAACTGAGAAGCATGGTCCAGCAGTAAAACTAAACCGAACCAAACCGTTCTGCAGAAAGTACAACAGTCAGTATATTCCAATTAATAAATTAATAGAAAACATAAAAAACTATTTAATATGCCAGGTACTCAGAAAGATTAAATAGTTATATGTAAGCAAAATTTTCCATGTGCAAACTAGAAAGTGTCGCGTAATTCTGACCTCATAAAACTGGGCCATGGCATTTATTGTGTTCATCTGTGGTTCTCATTTGTTTTCAGATTAATGCTTTAAGCTTGAATATTTATCTAAGTGTTACTTCTGTATTCAAGATCTTTATTTTTTATTTTAGGGATTTTGTAAAAGCTTTTATTCAATTTAAGAAGCCAATTGTGGTTGCTATCAACGGCCCTGCTCTTGGGTTAGGAGCTTCTATTTTACCACTATGTGATATCGTTTGGGCAAGTGAGAAGGCATGGTTTCAGACACCATACGCAACAATCCGACTCACTCCAGCTGGCTGCTCATCATACACATTCCCACAAATTCTGGGTGTTGCACTGGTAAGGTTTTCCACCTCAAATTGCTGAAGAACCTTTCTTAAATTCATACTTTATCTCTTTAAAAAGTAAAAGAGAAAATAAGATCATGGTAGAAAAGGGAAGAAAAGCATCAGCAGAATACTGCTGCAGTACTTGTCTGTATTGTGTTAGGATTGGGCAGTAACAGAGCAAGATAACTGCTCTCTGCTCTCTAAAGACAATCCATAATAATTCCAGTAAGGTTGCTTAGGTTTTATAACAAAGCAGAATTTGCCCCACAGAGTATTTCATACTAGGTTCCATGACTCTTGGCACAATTATCACTGTATCACTGACAGTTACTCTTGTAAAATCAGCAATACAGATTTATCAGGCATGCCAGCACATTTCTCTTAAATGAAACCCATGCTGTGCTCTGGCCACCTGCACAATCCTTACATAGCTACCAAAACTCTGTTTAAAGTATTTTGCAGTTTGGAAAGATACAGGAGATCTTTTGTAAACGTAATCTTGAAAATGGCAGGGAAGTATGGAAAATTTGTTAAGGGAATTATAACCCAAGATCACAAGCAATCTTTTGGTTTCACAGGCAAATGAAATGTTGTTCTGTGGGAGAAAGCTGACAGCACAGGAAGCCTGCAGCAGAGGACTAGTATCCCAAGTATTTTGGCCAACAACATTTAGCCAAGAAGTGATGCTACGAGTGAAAGAAATGGCATCCTGCAGTGCAGTGGTAAGAAATCAAACTCCATTGTGATTAAATTACATTTCCCAGAGGTAAGGTGTGTTCCCAAGGCTCATCACATGGTGGGTCCTCAGATGCCACAACCACACCTGTGAAGAAGCTAACAAGAAAAAATCTGGATAGGAGCCAGCGAGCTTGTGGAGTTTCTCATTTTTCAGGGGCAGGGAGGGTTATTTCCTTTCCCCATCTCCACATTTATTCCGTATGAGTGAAACCTCCTTGCCCTAGATTTTGAAAGGAGATTTTAGCATAGGTTTCCTTCATGAAGGTGGGCGGGTCTGAAACTATACAACTGTACTGGGAAATCTCTCTGGGGCCAGTAAGAAAATATATTTGCCTTTCACATTTTCCTGGCCTACTATGTTTCAGCTGAGTCTGCCTTCTTTTCTGCACCTGCATAGTTCCTGATTCTGCAAAATGTTCTGCACAGTGCAGCAGAAGGGTAGGATAGTGCCAGCTAACCTCTGCTGTGAAGGAGAGGTGAGATCCAGACACAGAGGGATTTGAACACAGTCTGGTCACAGTGTATTATAAACTTTCCTTTTGTGTACATAAATGTTGAAATAAAATCCTTTCCTGTTGTTACTTCCTAAGGTTTTTTTCCCTTCAGGCAGATATACTCCTATTCTGGGCACATCCTGTTTTAAAAAAATGCAGTGAAGAAAGCCATACTAGCTGCAGTAAAACTGCACTAAGTGCAAATTCTTGCAGTTTCTTGCTATACTTCCTATGTCTGAAACTCTCTTAGCAGCCCTCAGTTTCATTTAAAAGATCTGTTGTAAAAGAGAAGGTAGAGACACAAGAGATTTTTAATTAAATGAAGTGTAGATTAGATCTCACTAAAGACATTCAGAATGAAGCTCTCTGGAAATGTAGCATAAGCTTCTTTGATGATGCTGATATAATGTGTATTATATGAGTTGGGAAAACCTCTGGGCCTTACTGTGATTTCTTCCTTCCTTTGCTGTTATTGGTTGTCAATGAAATTTTCTCTTGAGACCTGTGTCGTGGTTTAACCCCAGCCAGTAATACCATACAGCCGCTTGCTCACTCCCTCCCCTGTGGGATGGGGGAGAGAATCAGAACAGTAAAAATGAGAAAACTCATGGGTCAAGATAAAGACAGTTTAATAGGTAAACCAAAAGCCACGCACACAAGCAAAGTGAAACAAGGAATTCAGTCACTACTTCCCATCAGTACACAGGTGTTCAGCCATCTCCAGGGAAGCAGGGCTCCATCACGCCTAACGGTTACTTCAGAAGACAAACGGCAGAAGTCTGAACATCGCCCCTTTCTTTCTTCTTCCCCCAGCTTTATATGCTGAGCATGACGTCATATGGTGTGGAATATCCCTTTGGTCAGTTGGGGTCAGCTGTCCCAGCTGTGCCCCTCCCAACTCCCTGTGCAACCCCAGCCTGCTCACTGGTGGGGTAGGGTGACAAGCAGAAAAGACCTTGACTCTGTGTAAGCCCTGCTCAGCAGTAACTAAAACATCCCAGTATTATCAACACTGTTTCCCGCACAAATCCAAAACACAGCCCCATATGAGCTACTATGAAGACAATGAAATCCATCCCAGCCAAAACTGGCACAACCTGTTAGGAAGACTGGTGCTAACTTGTGGACAAAGATGAGAGTTAAAACTATCAAAGACTTGATTTACTCTGAGATTCTAAATGCAAATCAGGCTGAAGTCACAAAAACAATTAATACGATGAGCTCATCTGAGTTCACTGTGGATACTTGTTCATAAACAGACTGCAAAAAATACACAGGCCCCGTAATTTGCAAGTACCACTATTTACTTGAGTTAAAGAGAAAAAACATTTTGGAATAGCAGTGTTGTAACCTAATACTGATAGAAACTGAGCTTAACATGTAGGTGTTGACAAAGCTGAGTAGAGAGTGTGTGCCTCCCTTACCATAAGCACCGTATCAGTTTACATTATATCTTTCACCCCCCCAGAAATCGTATGAATTATTAATGGTTTTGTTTGACTAGTTGGGTTCCTTGTGAGATACATACTGGTGTTATATATTTCAAATAGAATTAAAAAGGAGGCAATCTCATTGTGTCTAAAAATGGGTCTGGGAAAACCGAGCTGAACTACAGCAGCAAACATGGACGTGCTGCTCGTGCCCTTAAGAACTTAGAGCAATGACTAAGGGTAGTCATCACCTTAGGTAATTTGTTATGACTGCTTGTATATGCTAAGCAAACCTAACTCCAGAACACAGAGTTTGTTTTGCTTAACACCCTTCTTTTATAAAATACTTTGCTTTTATAAAAACTTAAACAAACTTTAAAAGATACTGACAGTAAAGGCCCTTTCCTAGTCATTTCTGTTTTGATAAGGAAATGATGCATGAGGGAGAATTGTTAAAGATGATGGACATCCACATTTGTGTTTCCAACCTCTGTAACCTTAAACACTACCTTCAAGAAAACAGGTAGCCAATATATCAGTCATCACACATTTTCATTTCAAGGGATCACATTTTCAACAGGAGGGAGTTCAGCTCCTTCTAGTGCTTCATGGCAGACCTTCAATAAGCTAAGGTACTTCAGAATCCTTCATTCATTTTAAAAATGTTGGCACTGAGGCATAAACCTCAGAAGTCCTTAATTCTTAAAGATGCTAACTATCAGCAAGTGTCTGTAAATCAGATCTAATTTCTGTGCCCAGAGGAGTTAGTTTGATTGTAAAAAAGGAGTCAGTAGTGTAAAAATGCTGTTCAGGCCATTATCTGTAATAACTTTTTCAGATTCAAAATAAAATACTGAGCAATATTTTGGCTTTAGGTATTGGAAGAGTCCAAATGCCTTGTGCGGAGCTTCCTGAAATCCGGACTTGAAGATGTGAATGAGAAAGAGAAAAAAAAAACAGCTGTGGAGTTCTTCCAAAGGACTGGATTCGTTATTCAGCTACTTGCAAGACAAAATTTATGAAGTCTGATGTCTTGGCCTAACTTCAAGAGAAAATGCTCCGCTTGTGAACAGAGTCAAACGTTACCTGTGTTTGAAAAGCAGAGGCAATGCATCATTGAGGAATTTGTGACAAGTGTATCCTAATACATATGGTTGTGTCCATTTCCTTGTGAGCTACATGGCTGCTTGTAGCTGGTTTGATTTTGTGTAACCGAGATGGCAGGCTTGTTCAGTGCACATAATCTCTACAGAGGGCTGCATCTTTCACGTGCTCATCCAGATAAAAGTATACATTCCATGTGCTGAGAAGCACCACTGAGGCCCGGTAAGGCACACCATCTGTAATGATTTATTTTGTCTGTCCTTCTTAACTTATTCTTGCTGTTGCAACACATCTGGGCTGACACAGAGGGCTCAATCTAAAAACTGTGTCAGCACAATATTTTGTAGACTCAAACACCATACTTTAGAAATATTTTAATTATTTTTTTCTAAGTTCTAACAGTGTAATGGAAAAATCTGATAATTTATATGTATAATATGTAAAGTTAGTTTTACAAAAACTACTAGGATTTTTTTTTTGTTTTTGAATTTATTTAACTTATTTATTTTGTGTTCATATTCAGCTGTTTATTGATCATAGCTCTTATTTTCATACTTCCCTTGACTGAATTAAAGGCATCACATGAGAATGCAAACACACTGTTAGCAGCAAATGGTGTCAAAAAACAAACAATATATAGAAAACACACAGAATGCTGTGGGCAGTAAAAGAAACAGCCACGTGCATGCTCCTCTATGTGCAAAATTGTACAAAATATGTATGAAATAGATTCTATTTGCCAGGGTTAAGGGGAAAAAAGTGGGTTCTGAAACAGTGAGTCCCCCCTAAGTCTCTCTTCACTTTCTGCCTTCTTGAGGAGCATTGAAGGGCTTGCCAACAAGATGCTTTATTTAAGTTTACTGTATTCCTGTTAGTCGGATGTCAGTAACAGGGTGAGTGGTGCCGTTATGGGGCATCGTACTGTTTTTCAGGTTTAAACATCCCCTTTTCGTCTGAAGTCTAAAAGCAAATCCTTATGAGCCTTAGTCTAGTTGCCTGATTCCTCAGGTGTGAGATAATTTCTGCTCTGGAGGCCTTTGGGTGTGGGCCAACACTTTATTCAAGGTGCTAGGTATTGAACTGAGTGGAGGGAGAGGTTCTGTTTTGCTTTTCCCAGCTCTCCACACCTGGCCACCCCATCATCTGTTACAGGAACTTATGGCTATCCACAAAAGCAGTCCCACAATAAAGGACAAAAACCCAATCTGCTATTTTAGAATGTGATCCTAGTACTTTTCAGTGACACTGACTGACTTCTGAACACTGGATCTCTCTCATTTCTTTCCTGCTAGTAATGCAATTAATATGGAAATAACACAAGCATGCTCTGTGACTTCACCTGCCATTTTAGTATGCCCAAATTAAAACCTCTTGAAGCAGAAGCTTTGCACATTTGCTTGCTTTGTAATTTGTGCACTTACTCTCCATCCTTGAGCTCAGTGACTTGGTTATGGTTTACACCTCCACAAATGAGGCTGCTAGGTGTTCTCCCTCCCAGTATTTCCATGAAGAGTTTCAACAAAGCCTTTGTGAAGTTCACAAACAGGTGGTTATAGTAAACAGTAGCCTTCAACACATTAATATAACATTTTTTTTTTCCACAAATAATTAAAAATGCTGTTTCTGTGGCCGAATTGTACCACTGAATTGGAAGGAAATCATTATCCTAAAGGCAGAAGTTCTCATGGAAAGTCTTCATTAAAAAGACAGAATCTGGCTGCTACTTAGCCTGTTTTAAATGTTTTCAAAAAAACTTATCGAAACAACTTATTTTTAAATGTCTGAAACAGAACTCTTTCAATAACTGTTTGAAGTGGTAGATGCATCACTTGTTTTATACAAATACTTGCTTATTTCCACAACCTGCCAGCAATGCCACAGGGCACATGCGCAAAGATGTGAATGGATCAGGGCCACAGGACCCCCTGCTACGCCAGCGTGTGCACGTGAGTCACCTGGATGGCAGCCCCGTTAAAATGAGGGGGATTACTCAAGTGAAAACCACTCACATGCATACGTGTTTGCACAATCGGGCCTCCAGCATATGACTTCAGAAAAAAATTTAAAAAAGCAATGGAAAGTACCATGATTCCTCAATTTCCTTTATTTCCTTTATTCCCGTCCAGAGAGCCATAACTCGTAGTCATGTGTTAATAAGATATTAGGAAGTTTATTTCAATACTATACTTGTTTTTTGTAGATAAATATAGAAAAATTGCTCAGCAATGTGAAGGTATGCTTTCCATGTGAGATTTTCAAACAGAGAAGAATCGTAAGTTGTAAGACCTTTAAACTGCTTCATTTCATCTGAATTTTCAGATATCTGTATCTTAGCATTTTTTATGACAAAGGAATGGTTGAAATACATTTTGTATAATTATTTTTCCATTAAAGCAAGCGCTAACCATAGTTAACATTTTTAATTATTCATATCTATACAGTTACAGTCTAGTTTTCATGGAATCTATTTTCCCTTCAAAAAAGAGTAATAACAATGTTGAAAGCTTCTTTTCCAGTATTTAAAGATCAGAATCAATTTTCTTTCTGTTTCTGTCCTTACTAGGTATTCAGATATCTAGATTTACTGTACATATTAGTCTGGGTACCTTTACTAATATTCACAGTATTTAAGATTATAAATGCAATTTGTTGTTAAGTATGTTATTTTATTCTTGTGTAAATTGTTTTGTACAATCTTTAAAAATCTACAGTTTTGCATTTGTAGATAGTAAAGGTAAGCAATTTATTTTGTGTTGTCCTGCATGTATATTTTTGCTGTAGATAAGTGTTGCTTAGTTTACTATTTCAGTACATTTCTGTTTAAATGAATAAGCTTACAAACTTTAATACAGTATATATTTTCAGAATATAAACTTTTATATTTCTGTGGTAGGTTAGGGTATGCGTTTTAGGCAATCTTTTTCACTACTATTAACTGTTCTTTTAATCGATAACATAATGGGTTTGTGCCAATAGTTTTTCATTAGAATAAAATACTCTTTTAATGTTAGGGATAAACAGACAATTTTGGTTGGGGTTTGTTTTATTTTGTTAATTTTTTTTATTATTTTGCCAGCCTTTGCAGTCTTAAATGTAATTTATAAATGTATTGCATTTGTGAATAAGCCTTACCATTAGGTACAAGAAATCTTTAAAGCTACATAATTCCTTATGTAGTACTAAGGACTTCCCCAAATAATTGCTGTAAGAAAGTTAGCAAATCTAGAGTACAGGGCCTTAAGTGTTTCTTGTGAAAAAGGATAATACGGGTTGTTTCTTTTGAACAACATAGGTAGACTTGTCAGCATGGGCTTTGCTACGTATGAACTGTGCATTTGTGCTCCCAACCACAGTAGTTTAATCTCAGGCTTTGTGTGGCTGGGTCTATAAAAGTCAAATCTGGCTAAAGCCAGCACTCTTTAGGAGACACTAAAGAAGTTTACATAAGAGACTTATAGACAATCTTAATCATAGTACATTTGGGTACTTGGGATCCTAGATGTGTTATCTGTGTCTGCCCAATTAACCGTATGTTTTAAGCCATATTAAATCCCTTTACTGCTACTTTAAATACTACACTGAAAGTCATTCACTAGCTTGCTTACTCACAGACAGGATTTCAATTTTTAGTGAATAAAAATATTATGCCTTCCATAAAACCAAAGGACCAAAGAATTGCATTCTTCTAACAAAGCATTAGTTCCTTCACCAGTGAACTAGTTTGACATTTGTACTGAAGATCAAATAGTCTCTTTCTGCTACCAACACTGCATTCTCATCCATGTCAAGTGTAAGGGGAAAAGAAGTATCCACTGACCTATTGGGAAAGGAGTGACGTTCAGCTAGGATGGCACGTCTATTGGTAAGGCTTATTACCAAACCTCTGAGATGAAGCAAAGAACCAAAAAGTCACAAATTATGTCAATGTAAATTTATTTTCAGAACTTGCACAAATAATTAATAGTAGAACCTTGCAAATTAGGCCCTTAAGTTATTTTGTCAGAATGCCATGGAACAGACTAAAACAGTTTCTAATATTTGTAATGATGAGTACATATTATAATATTATAAGGGTACAGGCACCCCTATATCACAGTGTTGTAAATATTTTCTGAAACTGGTACAGTACTGAGGGACTTGTATCTTCTGATATATCAAATATTGACTGTCTAGATCAAATTGTACACAATTTATTTGTTGATGGTCCTGTAACTAGTGTATGGACACATTTCTGGGTGCCTTAGAAGTTGTATTTTTCATGTGTGTTAATATGCAGTATTTATACATTGTGAGAAGCTGCTTTGAATAAAAACATTGAAACTTCATTTCAATGCAGTGATTTTCAGTTTTACATAGTCGGAATGAATGTGATAAGTAGTAGCCACAGACCCTTGTAATATATGATATACATGGTGAAGCTATTTGTGGACTCCTGCCTTTCAAAAGAAAGCAGGCATATAGCAGGGTTTTTAAAATAGAAATTAAACTTAAAACTTTTTTTTTTCCAATGGCAAAAACCAGGGCATTAAAAGACACTGCAATAAGAACTCTCTGAAATCATGCGTCATGATCCATCTTTTATCGTTTCATGATCAAATCCAAGAAAACCACCAAGAACTGTCCTATATATACCACACTGAGCAGAAGTCAGTAATGCAGAGGGTAACTTTAAAACTCCTGTGCTAAACTGTATCACCTTCCCTTAATCACTGGTATCACTTGAGCAAATTCAGCAGATCCAAGTCAAAAGCCACCAACATCAACGGAGATCCTCCTACTCACTTCAGTTGCTTCTAGTTCAACTGCAATGTTTGACAGATAACCACAGCAAACTACTTCACCATAATAGTACGGGGAATATCTTGTAAGTTATCTTCAAAAAATAATGTGACACTGATCAGAAAGACATAATTAGCACGAGAGGT